TCCGTGCGCGCCCACGGTGGCGGACGGCGAGGCTGCGGGTGCGGGCGTGGCGGTTCACCACGTCCGGCGGAGAAACAACAAGAGGCGGTTGGTTTAGAGCTGGAGAGGGATCCATGGCCTCCTCGACGCATCCATTGGCTGCGGCTTTGGTGTCGCATCCGGGGATGCATGCCTGTGGCGGGCGCGGGCAGCGGCGGCGTGGCCTGCTGCGGGCGGGCGCGGGCGCAGGGTGGGTGCGATGGGGGCGCGGCGGTGGCGTGGCCAGAATCATGGGAGCGGGTTTTGTTTCCTTGCAGCGATATTTCTTTCCTAGAAGGGAGACGGGATCGCAGGCGTGGGCAGACGGACGAACCAAAATAAATGTCGCACAAAAAAATATCCATGCTTTGTTCTTTTTAGTTGTAGGAGATTCTTTGAATGTAACTTCATTTATATTTACCATAGCCTTAGCGTGGAACCAGAAACTAAAAAAAAGGCAAGCGTAGTGCTTCTGAATCTGCAGGATCAGCAGGGTATGATTCTTATTTGTACAAATCTGCAGGATCAGCAGGGTATGATTCTTATTTGTACAAATTTTTTGCTTAAATTTTTTATTACTAAAATCTGAATTTGTAGGAGCCAAAGCATTGAGCCTGCAGCTAAGAAAAAGTCCAAACAAGGCATGGCTGAATCCGCAGGATCAGCGAGGTACTACTACTGATTTCTATTAGTTTTTTACTCAAATAGTCAATTGGAACTCTCACTTAGTTGCTGATTTACTAAGATGTCAATTTTGTTCACAATGAGAACATGTTTCTTATCAAATGCATGAAAATTCACATAAAAATGGCTTATGAGCAGGTTTGATTTTGTCATATATTTTAATCAATAAGCTGTTAGTTCTATACATTATATCTCTTTAAGTTTAACTAAAATGAATGCCCCATTACATGCATTTTTATAGGTCCAAAAAGTCTCAAATCAACCTGAACCATCTACGGAGCTTACAAGTGGTGCAGCACCAACATCTAAAACTGTGAAGGCCAAGGCTAAGACAAAGACAAAGCGGAAGAATATAGCTAAAGACATTGTCATAAAGCCACTGATACTTGATAGCCCTGCGATGGGCACAAGAAGCAAAAGATGTAATCATGTTAGCCCTACAATGAGCACAAGAAGTAAAAGGAGGCTTAGTTTGTGACTTTCATGTGCCTGCAATGTCACTTTTAATATGAACTTGATGTATGCGTCAAACGATGTGTCGAACTAGTGCACTGTGAAACTGATGTGTGAAAATGATATATGTGTCGAACACTATGTTGAACTATGTGCTCTGTGCCCCTTTTGAATTTTTAGGATGATGAACTTGTTTAAATTGTGTGCTATGATCAAGTTGACATCATTTTTTACTATAATATTGGAGGTCTGGATGTTGCATTCCTATCAAAAAGTGCTTAAAAATTGGTGTTATGAAAATTGGATTCAAAGTGCTCAAAATTATGTTGTTATGCTGTCCGGGTCACCTTTGGTTTCTCATAATGTCTCAGGGGCAGTTTGGTCATTTCATATGCCACTTAACGGTGTTAGAGGCAGGAGATGATGGTAAGGTCAGATTAGAAAATGAAACTTCAAGTGAGGCCAAATAGGTAAGAAATTTTATTTCAAGGCCAAGAAAGAAAGACAACTTTAAACTAGGGCCACATAAGAAATTTTCTCATTGAGAAATGTTGTAGGGCGTTGATGCTTGTCTGTCTTACTCTACGATGCCTCTGTTGGTTAACGACCTGCTTTTTTGACCTGTCTATTATGTTCTTTGGTCCTTCCTGGTTTTAGCTTTTGATGAGCGGCTACTGTTGTGGTCCATTTTCTACTACTATAATCTAAGGTTTCTAGCTGTTAAAAAATAGGCATGGGGTAAAGTAACAAATTTGGTGCACTCTCACACTTACCCACTTTGGCCATTTCCTAATTTCTTCCCTCAACCTGAGCGTCTCTTCTATACTTCTCTTCTATACCTCAACTGGTATAGTATTTTTTTGATTTGCATAAAAGCAAAAGCGCTGAATTTTAAGAATTAGTTAATTATTGTTTTTTTGTCCATTCATGTATTTGCGCTTCAACGCGTAACAGTCAAAACATTCTTTCACAAACTTTTTTTAATGCATAACACATCAAAATCTTGTCAAAAGACTATGAGAGGGAACCGACGTCGAGCACAATGTTGACACAGATGAGCAAGAGAACAATGAGCCTGATGTCCCGGATCCATACGACAGGGTTTACGCTAATGTCCCGTCAGAGTCACACATGCTACCGTTGGTGCCGAACTGCGAGCACTGCAATGCAAAGAAATTCGAAGGTGAACCGTCTTCTGTTGTCGAGGTGGAAAGATTCATCTTTCAACTCCTGTGACACCACCAGAAATCATGAGGTTGTGGATAAGCTCGGACGCTGATGCTAGGCACTTTCATGCAAACATCAGATATTTCAACGGCCACTTCTCTTTCACTTCTCTGTACTGCCACCTAGATCGTATGACCAATGACATACGAAACTGCGGTGTCTACACGTTTCGTGTCCATGGCCAGATTTACCATAACATACGATCATTTGGTAAAGAGGATGGTATCGAAAGGAGACACCTAGAGCTTTATTTTTACGACGATGATCTCTCCCTTGAGCATCGGATGAGCAAGTGCCGTGAGCAATGCGCCCAAAAAGACAGAGAAGTTATAGAGCAATTGGTTAGGATCTTTAATGGGAATCCCTACTCTCAGCAACTAAGGAGTATGGGACATGTTGAAAACCTCGAGGATTACCGGGTCGAGTTGAACCTTGACCAGCGGCTTGACTAGAGAACATGACATCAGAGGTGGCCACCATCTGGGTTGAGGGGAGTGAGCGTCTAGGCCAATTCGAGCATAGTGTTCTCCTGCAAGGGAATGATCGGTCTATACACGACATCTGCTCATATAATGTGTGCTACGACCCACTGTCATACCCGCTATTCTTTCCAAGGGGTGAGCTCGGGTGGCACAATGGCATTCTAAAAGTGGGTGTGACTATGGCTCAAGTTGAGAAAGCTCAAGAAATCCACAAAAAGCGTGCTGAGAATGGTATCGTCGTCACCTACATCAAGATTGAGAGCTCGTGTTTAGATTACATGAGGAACAATCAGGATACTTTGAGGGCCGACCTATACCAAGGCTTGGTGGACAACATGTATTCGGGTGAAGGATCTGCTGAGAATGTCGGAAGCCGTACTGTCCTGTCTTCATCATTCATCGTAGGACCCCGTGATATGAGGCGCCGATACATGGATGCAATAGCTCTGGTACAAAAGTACGATAAACCTGATATCTTCCTCACAATGACGTGCAACCCTAACTGGGATGAGATCAAGAATGGAATTTATCTAGGCTAGACACCACAGGACCGTTCAGATTTCGTCAACTATGTGTGAGATTAATAAATTAAAAAACTATGGCCTTGTTCGCTTGAACTTATCAGCCGGCTTATCAGCTAGAATCTACAGTATTTTTCTCTCACAACAAAACAGCTTCAGCCCGCTTATCAGCTGGCTTTAATACCAGCCGAATAGGCCCTATGTGGTCTGTGGTAAGCCCACAACAAATAACGCGCTACAGGCAATCCGTGTGTCACCTTAACGTTGATATTTAATTTACAGTATTGTTATCTTATCGTGTAATCCATGTGTATTTTAGTATAAAATGTTAGCTATCCTGTAGGAAACGCACGGATACAAACCTAGTAGATTATTACAAGCCAAATTACATGCATTGTTATGCTTATATGGTTCTAATAAAAGGCTATATTTCTAGTTGTAACTAAAAAAAAACAAAATATGCTAAAGGCACTTAGGTCTATTCCACAATATTCTCAGATAGATAGCCAAACGGTTTCAATAAATAATTCTGAATAAACATTTCTTCTAGTGATCTGAATATGAAACGTTTATTCTTAAATCTGGAGTTTATTCTTAAATCTGGAGTCGTACCAAACGTGCGATACCTAAGATATAAGATCGAATGTAATCATCTCCGTTCTAAAGCCTGCAAATCGCATGCCTCGGTCAGAATTCTTGGAGAATTCATTTGTGTTAGGCTTTGTTTAGTTCATCTCTCTAAAGTTTACTCTCTATCACATTGAATATTTGAACACATGTATGGAGTATTAAATATAGACTAAAAAAATAATTAATTATATAGTTTGCGACTAATTTACGAGACGAATTTTTTAAGTCTAATTAGTCTATGATTTGACAATGTGGTGCTACGGTACATACATGTGCTAATGACGGATTAATTAGGCTTAATAAATTCGTCTCGCATATTACTGACAGATTCTGTAATTTATTTATTTATTATTATCCGAACACCTTATGCGATATCCCATATAACATTCGGTGTGACACTCAAAACTTTACGCCACGTATTTAAATTTAAACAAGCCTCAGTAAAAAAAAAAAAAACCGGGCAACTCGTTTCGGGCAGCCAGACAGCCAGACAGCATCGTCTGGTTGAGTCACGTCACGTTCCGCGTTGGCGCGTTCTTTCCTCCCCCAAATCCATTCGCTTCGCCACCAAGGAAAAAAGGTCAGCGGAAACGGTGACAGTCTCGCCTTCAATTTCCCACCTATTTCTCCCCTTCCCCGAACCACCCCGCATTAAAATCTCCCCTCCTCCGGCCACTGCCAGCGCCCAATCCAATCCCTACCTGCCCGGGAAGGAACCACCCGTCGGCCTCCTCCCGCCCACCTCGCCGCATCCGCGGCGGGGATCTCCGGGCTCGTTCGGTCGTTCCCTCACCGGAGCCCCAATCGCTGCCGCGTCAAAGCCCCCCGAATCCCCCCCCCCCCCCACCCCGGCGCGCGCGCAGCACAACCTGCCACGATCGCCCGCGGGAACCTCCGCTAATTGGGTCTCTGAAAGCTCGGTTTTTGGGCGATTTTGATTCGGATAGCCCTCTTCCTCCGATTTTGGTGCGCGTTGCGGGCCGGGATGGGGTTGCAGCAGTCAAAGAGGAACTGCTGCACCAGCAGGTCAACTACGGCAACGTCGATGGCATTCGCACGCTCCGGGGGCAGGGCGCTGGTCTTGAGGTTAGTCAGTCATTCGGCTAGGATGACAAATTTACACTTGTTTTATGTCCCTCTGAACTGATTGGGTTACTGTTGTTGTTGTTGCGGCAAATGCTTGGTTGGTTGTAGTGGATTGACAAGGAAGGCAAGACACCCCTGATGCTTGCCTGTATGCGGCCCGATCTGTTCGACGTGGCCAAGGTGCTGATCGAGTTGGGAGCCAATGTGAATGCCTACCGGCCTGGTATTCTTCTCATCATTCTTATTATCGACTTGTTACTTTTTTTAGTTTGCTTCTATTTGTGAAATCAGCTCAAGTCAAAAGTTATCTGGCTCACTGAGCAAAAAGTAATTTAATTGGGCTGTAAATTGTGCATAGATTGGAAACAAAGCGGCAGTTTAAAGTTAGTAAGGTGCTTAAACTTCTCATTCGAATAGGCGATTAGGGTAGATTTCAGGCAACTAAGACAAGGTTTATCTCAGCATTCACTTTACATAGTACCGTGTATTATATGTTCTGTCAAATCAAATCAGAACATCACAGTAATACTGTATTGGTACACATCTTTCAAACTCTGTTTCAAATGAATGCTAACCGTTTGACGTGATCCATCCAAGTTGCTGACACTGATATGAACCATCCCTGGGCGCATGCTTAATTGAAGAGGAGGCTGTGCTCGTTATTATGTTCTGATCACCACCTTTTTGTCATTGCCAGGGTCACATTGTGGGACAGCATTGCACCATGCTGCCAAGAAAGGGCTTCAGCAGACTGTCCATTTACTACTCTCACATGGAGGTATATGATGAACAATACTATGAAACGCTTCATTCATCTCTTGTTTATTGTTGTAGATCTCTATTAAATGTATATATTGCTATATTCGCGCAGCTAATCCGTTCATACCAAATGATGATTGCAATACTGCCCTTGAATTGGCAAGAGAAAAGGGTCATGTGAATGTTGTACGTGCCATAGAGGTATATTTTTCTTTGCAACCCTATTTTTGTATATTATAATACTTGTGGAGTTTATTCATATTTATTTTTTAATGTTTGTCACTCAATTAATTTTAGGGACGGCTTTCTCTTTTTTGTGGATGGATGAGGGAGAATTATGCTCCTGCTTTTTTGGATGCAATTGCTCCACAGTTCATGACAAGAAAAATGTAATATTTTCATTTATGTTGGCACATCTGGATACATACATATAGCACAGTTGTGATAATAATTGCGCTGTGTGTTTTATGAATTCTAATCCTTACCTTCTCTTTCCCAGTTGGGCTGTTATTTTACCCCGTGAAGTGCGAACTCCAACAAGGCTTCTTAAGTTAGAGTTAGCTATATATCCCGAATTACAGGTACTGATAGGAACTTAAAGTTTGAATGTGTTCTGCTTTGTTTTTCAATTATTATGTAGTTACTGTTTATGGTGATGGATATGTTGACATATCTCCTACATATTGAATTCCTATGCTATTTTTGCAATTGATTATTATTTACTTGGGTTAGCAATGGCATTACTGCCTCTCTCGCCTTTAAAATGTATTCCTTCTCCCATGTCAGGTTCTGTAGTACCATTTATCAAATATTTGAAACTTTTGTATAATTGCTGCTAAATGCTCATGGAGTTCTGTTTGGAGGAAACTGAACTTTAACTACCTGTACATTTTTGCCATTTCACGCTTTAATTGAAAGGAGTGGAACTCTGGTGCCTTTGGCTTGTTGCATCTTGGTAGCAAGGGTCAGACAATACAGCTGGCATTGTTTATTTGAAAATGAAAAGGGCTAAATACTCTGTGTGTGGGACTATTTTGATCAAGCTCATGCATGTGCATTTCCCCCTTTTTCCTTGCTTGACTAAGTTGACAACTTTTGAGTATAAGGGTTTGTTTGGCTGCACTTCAATCCACCCCAATCCACATGTATTGTGGTGGAAATTAACTAGTTTTCCACCCAATCCACCCCAATACCTGAGGATTTGGGTGGATTAGAGTGCAGCCAAACAAGGCCTAAGCGGGAATCTAGGGGGTAAACGGTAAAACGCTGGTGCTTCCATTTTCTGTTATTACAGTTCGCATATGCAATCATTTCCTTTGTTTTTTTACAGTAGTATTCTGCTCAGCAATTAGCAGTAAACGCTGTCCTTACTTTGTTGAAGTTGATATTTTTCTTGTAAAATTTTGATGGCTCTATGCAAATTATTATTGTTTGTGATATTCCTTTTCTTAATGAACATGCAGGCTTCTAAACCACGTGCTGTACTTAAACTATGGAAATGTCAAATTGAGCAACCAAAGCTTAATCAGCCTGACCCTTCCATTATCATTTTTGACAAAGGAACAAGTATGTACCATGTTTAGTTTTCAATCTACAGATTTGGCAAGTTAAATGCTTGTTTATGATATTGGCTACTTGCTTTGTTGATATGGTTTACATTGTAGTCAAGCCTGGGAATGAGTCGTGGCCCACCCCTAATCCAACCTCGACCCTATTTTCTAGAGCGGATGGCCCGATCCTGATCCAATCCATTGGTCAGCTTTATATCCTAATCCAGCTTGGCCCCTTGATAATAAAATCCCACTCCTATCCTGATCCTAATTAAATCCTAGGGCTAGATCCGTTATCTCAGCCCTCGGGCCCTGCGCAGGCTACAGATTGCATGTTTGCATGTACACAGAAATACCCTTGGGCCATGCGCAGGCTACAGCTTGCACGCTTGCATTTGCACAGAAATACAATGCTTGCACGTTTGCATGTAAACAGAAATACAATGCTGCAGATGTAAAAAAAAAAACAAATACAATGCTGCAGATGTCAAAAAAAAAAACAATGCTGGACGTTGGGCACTACACAGAACATTTGCACGTCTCAATCCTGACAGAAGTAGCATGCTGGATGTGTTTCATAGTACACAGAAGTAGCTAAGGATAGCTAAGGATTAATTAAGTAGCTGAAAGGACTAATTAGGATTGAGCATGAATCAACATGCTAAAACAAAATTACAAATTTCTAGCCATGCGATCCGATGAATCCAAGAAGAACAATAAAAGTTGATTATTGTGACTTGCAAACATTATGCAAAGGTTCAATGATCAGTGAGCCTGCGCCGCACATCAGAGATCAATGAGCTCTGGCTAGCGACAACAATCTGCCACAAGCCCACAATCTGCAAAAGACGCCATCTGCAAAGACACCAAGCACAAAACTCAAACTTAGGAATTTACTATTTGATCATATACATGTTAACTGCAGATAAATGAATGGACTTGGGGTGTCAACTGCAGCTATGCTAGAACTTTTTTTTTATGAAACTGGAGGGGCTGTGGGCCCCTACAGGCATTTTATTAAAACAAATAACAGAACACAGATTAGGGAACTTCATGCTTCATTGACTAACAGGCATTTTATTAAAACAAATAACTGCAACTATGCTAGAACTTCATGCTTCATCAATTATATGACTAGGCAGAGGCACCAGTGAAAAGGAGAACTTCATGCTTCAAGTGCATAGTAGGTAGTAGGTACTGTGCTACAGCTATAGTTTCAAATCCATGTCAACTCATAATACTATCATGCTTCTATTCACTTCTTGAACTGCAGTCAGTACTCAACATACGAAGCTTGCAGTCAGTACTCAACATACGAAGTAATGTACTACATCTTCTCATTCCAGTAAACCACAGTCTGGTGTTCTGAACCCATGCACTGATCACAGTAAACCAACAAAAATATTTGCATCGGGGCACTAACCTGTCAATCATCTTCTTCGTCTGATTCAAATATACGTTGTCTGGTCATTGGTTGACCTGCATTGAACAAGACAAACATATTAAACCACTATTGTAAATAAAATTGTGTCGGTGTTTTGGACCGGCGGCTCCTCAATCAACGAGTGAAAATGTACTGCGTCCCTATTCCGGATGGTGATGCAAAGAGACACAAGGTTTATACTGGTTCAGGCAATAAGTGCCCTACGTCCAGTCTGGGAGAGCGATCTTGTATTCCTTGCACCGAGGTGCTCGTAGTAGGGGTTTACAAGCAGGACGAGAGAGGGAGTTAGTCCCAGGTCTCTGCGTAGAGCGGCGTGGGTTGCTTGAGATGTTGATCTCTTGCAGTGAGGGAGCGTGCGTATTACAGAGTGTTGATCGTTGCTTGCGTGTGTGTCTATCTGAGCGATGTCTCCGTGAGTGTGTGCTCCTCCTCCAGGGGCGGCCCTGGTTACTCCCTTTTATAGTCGAAGGGAGGTACAGGGGCGGTACATGTGTTTGCTACGTGGTGCTCTTTTTTGGCAGAGGCGGCATGTCCGAGCCCTGTAGCTTGTCACTGTGGAGGTATGGTCGGTGGAGCGGTCTTGTCCTCGGTGCACTGGAGTGACACGCCGGTCACGCCTGCTCTTCAGGTGGGGCGAGAGCGCCTTTTCTTCGGGCGGAGGCGAGCCGGCATCGAGGTTTGATCATGGAGTGCCGAGGCCGGGTTGATTGATCACGATGGTGCGGGGCCTGCGATTCCGAGGCTACAATAGCTAGGCCTTGTGCACGACGTGGGGAGCTCGCACCGACTGACGCGCGGTATGGCGCGCTTCTGCGGGCGACGGTGTCGGTGCAGTGTTGACAACGTGAGAAACCGAGGCCCGGTCGATGCGGAGGGTTGAACCATCGTGGGGGCTCGGCGAGCACAAGTCCCGAGGCTACAGGAGCCCGTGCGTATAGCCGAGGCTCGGAGGGAGCAGCTTGGTCTTGTTCGTTGATTCCGATGCTACACGTGAACTCAGTACTTGACTCTCCACGCCGCGTTGTCCTTGGAGCGGTGGGGTTAGGTAGCACAAGTTGCCGCATGGGTGTCGATCATGGACACGATCTTTGAGCACACAATGCCAGTAACCCCCGCCCGTCCCTGTCTCCGGATGGCGGTGGCGATCGACTTCCGTCTCGTTGGTTACTCCACATTGTCTTGTCTTTGTCATCGGCCGACGTTCTGAGGAGTGGTTGAGTGCTTCAGCTGGATGTGACGCCCATCGTGGAGGTCGGTCAAAGTTCTTGGGGTCGATGCTGAAGCCGCCTCAGCGAGATTTGAGAATCGGTACCTCGTCCGAGGCCTTTCGGGCGGGGGCCTCGGGCGAGGGCCTCGGGCGAGGCGGAGAGTTGGTACTCGTCCGAGGCCTTGCGGCGTGGGCCTCGGGCGAATCGGAGAATCGGCCGAGGCCTCGTGGTTGTCTCTTGGCTTTGATATTTACAAGGTCTAAGCAATTTTTTCGGTTCTTGCTTAGGGTACCCTTTTTATGGTATCCGACAAGTAGCCCCCGAGCCTCGGGGAGTCTGACTCTCTCCCGAGGTTTTGACGAGACTTGGCTCATGCAGCAGCCTCCCGTCGGGATTGTGTTTTGTGCTCGAGGGCCTCGGTGGGTGCGGCAGGCCTTCACGGTGTGTAGTTTTCCGAGGCCTGGAGGAGTGGATTTACTCCTCCGTGGTTTTTTCCCCTGTTGAGTGAGGGGTTTTATCGCGTTCTTTGAGCCCTTGAGTGCGAGTTCGGTCACATTTGCTGGTCTTTGGTCAAGGTGCGAAGAGCCCCCGAGCCTCTGCGCGGAGCAAGAGGGCGATCAGGAGTTTCCCTGTCTTTTTTGGGCGGCCCTCGCGCATCCTTTTCGTTCGGAAGGAGGGGTGGAGTGTGCAAGGCTACCCTCGGTGGGCGCGAGCAGTGACACCTCCGGTGAGCTGTTATCGGGTAAGTCCAAGGGGAGGCCTGTGCCCCATTCGATAGGGGTCGGGTAGTGGTCCAGAGATGCACTCCAAAAGTACCAGAGGGCTTCTCTAGTGGGTCCCAGGGCCGTTCGGTTGGTTCCGGGGGCTCGACGCCTCCCTTCGGTGGGATCCCCTTCAGAGACCTCCCTTCCGGTCTCGGACACGACTTAGGACGTCCCAAGCTATCGCTTGCTTGGGCCTCGGCTATGTACGGGCTCGTCCTTAGTCATCCCTGACTCTGTTTGTCCTGGGGCGGCTGTCGAGACCCTCGGGGGCCCAACCTTCGAACCCCTGGACCGTAACGGGTTCGGTGCCCAGTTCCTTAGTCTGAAAGGAATCGGGTGGCTAATATTCCCTTTCCATCGGCTGACAACGGTGGGTGCGCCTTTTGAGGCGGTTTCTCGGGGAGACGGAACGGCGCCTGCCGTTGCTGTGGTCGGATGCGACGCTATGTCTGCGGATGGGACGTTACTGTGCGCGCGCGGTTAATGAGAAAAAGGTGGACGCGTGGGCGGTTTAATCGGATCCGCATTAACTGCGCCAGATCTAGAAAAATTACCTTTCCCAGTTTCGTCGCCCGACCGTTTCACCCCCTTCCCTCCCTCATAAATATGTGACGAGCCGCGCCCCTGCCCCTCCTTACCTTTTCCGCCTACACTCGCGCTTTCTGCACTCGAGCGGTTGTCAAGGACAGCGGAAGAGAGCGCCGGGGAGAAGAAGGGAGAAGGGGGAGGAGAAGAGAGAGAGAGAGAGTAAGCGAGAGCACGTGTTCCCGCCGCAGTCGCGTTCTCCACCGCTCATGGCTGGTGGCGCCGTCGTCCTCCAGGCGGATCCTTGGGGTCCATCCGACGTGTCCGCGGAGACCCTGCAGTCACTCGTCGATGACGGCCTCCTCCGCCCGGTCACCGACCTCAACAGGCCGGAGTGGATTGCTCCGGGGAGCGAGTCGGAGCCGAGGCCACGTGATGGCTATATCGTGAGCTTCGTGTCCTTCCACGAGCGTGGCCTCGGCGTGCCGGCGGACCGGTTCATGCGGGCGCTCCCGCATTACTACGGCGTGGAGCTCCACAACTTCAACCCCAACTCCATTGCGCAGGCAGTCATCTTCGTCGCCGTCTGCGAGGGGTACCTGGGCATTGCCCCCCTATGGGAGCTGTGGCTCCACCTCTTTCGGGCGGGGCTCACCACCAAGCCGACGGGCACGGCGGGCACGCAGAAGGCGATGAGGGCCGGCGGCTGCACTCTCCAAGTGCGCCAAGACCGGCAACACTCTCACATCCGGCTCGCGGTCGTCCAACCGCTACCGGTACAACAATTTGGTTCTACCTCCATGATGATGACGGCGAAGTTTCCCCTATACCGGGCGTAGTCGTGGAGAGCTAGCCGGGAGAAGTGGAGGTACTGGCGTCTAGTTGGTCGACCAAACAAGCCGCACTCTCGGAGGCGCCGGAGAGGTCATGCCGCATGACCTTTACAATTGTGGTCGTGGTGGCCTTCCACCGCCGCATGGTCTTTGCCACGATGGCTCGTGGCGGCGCTTTGTTGAGATGACACCGATGAGCCGATCGATGGCATCCGGATGTCCGCCGTCGCCCTCTCCGACGAGGAGATTCTGCGCGTCGGGTGAGAGACGGTGGAGGCGCGTTGAGGAGCGATGGTCGACCCGTTCCGATCGCGCCCATCGCGGGGCTATATTTCTCTGGTGAGTTGCGCATTCTTTGCGGCCCCGAGGCCTTTTGCTTCTACGTTTTGATCCGATTCCTTATTGCGTTTTGCCGTTCTGCGAGGATGAGGATGTCGCGAGCCTCCCCGCCGCCTGCGTTCAGGGACGCGAGCGGCGAGCTAAGAACAGGCACACGCCGAGGCGCACAAGGAGCGGAAGGACGCCGAGGAGGCAAGGCGTAGAGGAAGAGCCTCGGCGCTTGAGCTGGAGAAACGTCGTCGGCAATGTAGAGGCACGACGGTCTCCGGAAGAAACTTTCTCCGTCATCGCTGTCGCTGGACCCTTGACGAGCGACGACGACGACGACGGGTCGAGGCGGGTCCCTCGACCACCTCCCGACGTCGGGGAGCGGTGCAGGGGCGTCGGCAAGCGGCTGATGTCTCCGTGAGGAGGAGAGGGTGTCTTGGGGCTATTGATGCGCCTCGCCTGGGCCGAGGCCGACACGCCCGAGGCACGGCGTCGGAAAGCTGCCGTCGGCCGAGGGACCCGATGGCGGAGGTGGAGCGAAGCGGCGGCGAAGCGATTCAACCGCCTCCATGAGAGGGACGAGGCGTCGGTCGGCGAGGGCTCAGCCGGCAAGCCCGGCGGACGGGAGGTCGTACCACAATGCCGCCACCGCCGTTCCACGAAGGGCGAGGGCGCAGCGATCTGCGGGCGGTTGTGTCCCCGTTTGAGGTGAGTGTTTTGTCAGTGGAGTTTGTAGCATCTCCCGCTCGCCCCTTGGTCGTATGCTGACCTTGCGAGTGCTTTTGCTTTTAGCCGGAAGCGTCAGGCGGAGGCGCCCGCCCTGGCGCCACGTAAGGCGCTCAAGGTGAGCACCAGCTCCCCCGCTCAATGGGTGGTGGAGGCGCAGGCCACCATACAGCGTGGCGCGGCGTCGGCAAGGGCCGACCCGAAGGAGCCGGTCGCCCAAGGAGAGGCTGTCGAGGCCGCCACGGAGCAGGATGGGGAGAAGGTGCCCAGGACCTCCGAGGCCGAGGTGACCGAGGCCAGGGCTCCTGAAGTCGAGGTGGCGAACGCCGGGGCTCCCGGGACCACCGAGGCCGAGGTGGTGGAGGCGGACGCGGCGGAGCCGGCGGCCCAGGATGCGGCGGTGGAGGCGGAGCAAGCCTCGGTACCGCCCCCGGTCCAAGACCTGCCGCCGTCGCAGGAGAGCGCCCAGGCGGTTCAGACAATCTCCTCCGCCGATACTTCCCGGGGGAAGGAGGTGGCGGACGCCGAGGCGGTCAGCACCGCGGAGTAGCCGGTCCCGACTCCTGCCAAGGGGAGCTCAGCCCTTGTCCGGGTCCGACCCGAGCCTCCCGAGGAGTCAGCGTGGGTGTGGGTCGAGGTTGTGGCGAAGAGGTCGAGGGCGAAGCGTTGGTGGCGTCCTGAGGGCTCCGCGTGAGCGGAAGCGTAGGCGGCGGCGGCATTGCAAAACCCGAAGGGGTACGGGGATGGTGCCATCGCCGGGTTCCGCTCCGCCGGAGTCGATTCCTCAGGAGGTGGCGGGGCAGAGCTTGATGACGGGGCGTTGCTACGCGCCACCGGCGTCTTTCCCTTGCCTATGCCTAAGCTAGACAGGTCCCCAACTAGGGACTCTGTACCAACAGCCGGGTGTGGGATACTGGCGGAGCGCGGTGCGTCGCCCTGAGCTCGCAGGGTGTCAGGGTGGTCCTGCCCGCGTCGTACCTGGCGAGCGTGACGCGAGCGGCGGCCCGGGCGCCGTCTGCGCCTGGGCTGCTGGTACGTGATGTCGCCGTCGGTCGGTGGGGATCTGGATGGGAGGAGTACTAGGTCGTACTTGTATCCTAGAGACATGAACTCTAGGCTCCCGAACCAGATCACCGTGCCGAGACGCAGTGGTCGTACGGGGTCTGCCATCCGGGACTTGTTGGGACGATTAAGCTAACACGCAGTATGCCCCCTACCTGGCGTGCCAACTGTCGGTGTTTTGGACCGGCGGGTCCTCAACCAACGAGTGAAAATGTACTGCGTGTCCCTATCCCGGATGGTGATGCAAAGAGACACAAGGTTTATACTGGTTCAGGTAATAGGTGCCCTACGTCCAGTCTGGAAGAGCAATCTTGTATTCCTTGCACCGAGGTGCTCGTAGTAGTGGTTTACAAGCAGGACGAGAGAGGGAGTTAGTCCCAGGTCTCTGCGTAGAGCGGCGTGGGTTGCTTGAGATGTTGATCTCTTGCAGTGAGGGAGCGTGCGTATTACAGAGTGTTGCTCGTTGCTTGCGTGTGTGTCTATCTGGGCGATGTCTCCGTGAGTGTGTTGAGTGTGTGCTCCTCCTCCGGTACAGGTTACTCCTTTTATAGTCGAAGGGAGGTGCAGGCGGTACATGTGTTTGCTACGTGGTGCTCTTTTTTTTGGCGAGGCGGCATGTCCGAGCCCCTGTAGCTTGTCATTGTGGCGGTATGGTCGGTGGAGTGGTCTTGTCCTCGGTGCACTTTGGGTGACGCGCGGTCACGCCTGCCTCCGTGGTGGCGAGCGCCTTCTTTCCGCTCGGGAGGCGAGCCGGTTCTTGTATGTTTGATCGTGCGGAGTGCCGAGGGCGGGTTGATGCGATGGTGCTGCGCTGGCGATTCCGAGGCTACAATAGCTAGGCCTTGTGCGCGACATGGGGCTCCTGCAGACTGATCACGGTGGTATGGCGGCGTTCTGCATGCGGCGACGTGCGGTGCGAGCAGTGTTGACAACGTAGAGAACCGAGGCCTTGTCGATCGCAGAGGTGAACCATTGTGGGGGCTCTGGCGGGCACAAGTCTCGAGGCTCTGAGAGCCCTAAGCGGATAGCCGAGGCTCGGAGGGAGCAGATTGGTCTTGTTCGTTGATTCTGAGGCTACAGGGACCTGTACTTGACTCTCCACGCCTCGCTGTCCTTGGAGCAGGTGGGGTTAGGTAGCATAGTGCCGCGTGGGTGTCAGTCGTGGGCACGTGCGAAACCACGGACCAGAAAACCCCCGCCCGTCCCCGTCCCGGATGGCGGTAGCTGAAAGCGACTTCCGTCTCGTCGGTTACTCATTGCATCTTTGTCTTGCGTCGTCTTGGTGACGTTCTGGGAGTGGTTGAGTGCTTCAGATTGGATGTGGCCTTCTGTCGGGGAGGTCGGTCAAAGTTCTTGGCGGGTCGATCTTGAGCCGGCCTCGAGCGAGACGGAGAATCGGTACCTCGTCCGAGGCCTTTCGGGCGGGGCCTCGGGCGAGGCGGAGAGTTGGTACCTCGTTCGAGGCCTTGCGGCGTGGGCCTCGGGCAAATCGGAGAATCGGCCGAGGCCTTGCGGCGTGGGCCTCGGGCGAATCGACCGAGGCCTCGTGGTTGTCTCTTGGCTTTGATATTTACAAGGTCTAAGTAATTTTTTCGGTTCTTGATTAGGGTACCTCTTTTTATGGTATCCGACAAATTGGCTTTGCAATATTTATCTGAAATATGACAATTACCTTCTTCTGCATCATTAAAGCCAATCAACCAATCTTTCGCACAGACTAACGCTTCAAGAGTTTCCGGAGAGAGAGATGTCCTATTTTTACCAAGTATCCTTCCAAAGACACTAAAAGCGATTACGAGGACATTGTGCTAACAGGAATAGACAAGAAGTCTCTGGCCATCAAAGACAAGATAGGATAGGCATCCGAGTTTTTCTTCCACCATGCTAGAACATTAAAGTTCTATGTTGGTCTCACAACTACTATAGGATCATCCAAATAAATATCCAGTTTTGATCTTTCTGAGCGAGTACTCGAGTTTTGTGATGAAAATTGAGCAAATGCAAGCTCTACACGCCGTTTGCCACGAAGTCCAGAAGAACTCGATTCGCCCTGACTTAAAACTTCCTCATCATATGTAACGAAGACAGGACCTGTGTTGTTCCTCACAACCCTCTCGTACTCTAGATAATATTTCTTCAAGTATTGTCTAAGCTCTCTCATCTTCGCTTCCGCTTCTGCATTCTCAACAGTCAAGTAAAAGAACCTGACAAAATCAGCTTTCATTGATGGGTCTAGGACAGCAGCTATGAGAAGTACCATACTAGGCGCAGCCCAGTATTTCTGAAACTTGGTATACATAGCTTCAGCCAACTCATTGAGCAGTTCATTAGTATTCCACGTCTCATCAAGCAATACATCTCGAACTGCCATCAACATCTTCAGAAAGAGATGGGCCGTTGGATGCCTATCCGCAGAAAATGCTTTTGTAGCCTCACTAAACTGTTCTAGGAATTCGTGAAGCGATTCAGCTTTCTGCCTGTCTTGTTCACTAGGAACATCCTGATACTGCTCTGCTGCGAATCTGTTGAGAGCTGCTTTATATTTCAGAGCTTCATTCAACATGTCATACGTAGCATTCCAGCGGTGGGGAACATCTAGAACCAGCCCCGACTTGCCTTTGAGACCTAATGCCTGAACGATTGAGTTGAATGTTTGCAGACGAGAAGGTGTAGATGTGACAACCTTGATAATGTCTCTTACCCTTCCAACTGGATTTGGTATGACTTGCAATCCAGCTTGGAGCATTATATTGAGCACATGAGCGGCACATCTGACATGTATGTGTTCACCCTTAAAGAACATCTGAGCACCTAGAGCAGCACACAAGTCTCTAATCGCTCTGTTGTTCATACTTGCATTATCTAGAGTCACTGTGAACACACGATCAACTAAATCCCACTCCGTCAAGCAAGCCATGATGCCATCTTGCACAACAAATGAGTTATGGGGGAAAGAGATCTGCTTGAATGCAATAATCTTCTTATGGAGCTCAAACTCTTCATCAATGTAATGAGCTGTAACTCCAAGATACCCCAAATTTTGGTTTGACGACCACAAATCAGCAGTTAAACTGACATGAAACTTCAACTTTGTGATCTTTTGATGTAGCTGTAATTTCTCTTCTTCATACAAGATCAGACAGTCTGCACGAATAGTTTGTCGACCCACCACATTGAATGAAGGCTGGCAATAATTTATCATCTCTTTCCAAGCAGGATCATCTGCTTTTCGAAATGCAACCTCAGCACTAAGGAAGTACTTTGCAATCAGACCTCTGAATACAACAGGATCAAATACAAAATTATCTCTATCAGACTTGTTCTTCAAAGTTGCTAAGAATCTGCCCCTGTCCTCTTGAGGGATATGATGACAATAATATCCAATATGCCTATTCAAGTGAGTTGTCCCTTTCCTTGACACAGAAGACAACTGGAGCTTGCAATACTTGCACACAGCCTTCTCAATTCCATCAACGATTTCCGAGTCAACATAAGCCCAAACTTTTGGCCCTCTTTTTCCCTGACTGGCCTGACTGATCAGTGGAGATAGCATCAAGACTATCCTCAACTTCTGCTGCTGTTGCTGATGAAACCCTCTCCACAATACCAGACACTCAGACTAACCAACTCAGGTTACCAGCAGTAGTTTGTCATAAACTACAGAAACATAGGTCAGCTATGGAGGGAACTACAACGCAGCATACTAGAGTAAAATCTACCAGAATAGCTGACAAAGGGAACACACAAAAGGCAGGAACAAAAGAATAGCTAACATATGTAGAAGAATAGCTAAAGTAAAATCAAAGCATTTCTGAATATAGGTACATTTTACTATTACAGTTCACAATCAAAGCATTGCTGACTACTGAAGCAATTAAATAATGATGGCAACTTTAGAATGCTGATGGTAAATAATAGGATAGGAAACAACGATATCAGCTAGTAGTTGAAAACAACTCATTCAGAGCCACACGGCGATTCAACTATATCTAAGACCTCATCAGTAAGAAAATGCCAGCTAGATACAACTACTCTAGTACTCTCAACTCTGCATATTCCAGATGAATAAACAACTCCATAGCAGTAGTTGAAAACAACGGGATTTTGATTTCCACATTTTCCAACATAGTGAAATCTAGCTACCATTGCAACTGTACCATTCAGTGTACAAATTCATATCCGTTTTAACTGAGTTTGTTCTATTATGCTAAAACATATAATCAGATAGCAGCCAGGTAATGGATGCAAGCAGAAAGTAAATTAAGAACAGAGCAGATATCGACCATGAACATGCATTAGCACATGAAAGGTGAGATTAGCAGGGGCTTACCACATATAAAACAGCAAAAAGAGAGACGGTGACAAGAATCAGGGGGCCCAAATGCCAGAAAGAAGGTACTGCCAAGTGATAGTAGTAACTTTGCCAAAGGAACAAGACCCTGTGAAAAGAAATAAATAATTGTAAGGGAAAGGCAAGTCACTGATTATTTTATTATCATATTGTTACTGATCTGATAACCGGTACTAGACAAAAATTCTTCAGTAAATAATGATAAGGTGAAAACAGAACGCCTGTTGATTATCTGATTATCATATAGTATTGCTGAAGAGATAGTTGACGCTGGTGAATATTCTTCTGAACACAACTATTTTTAACTAATAAACATTGACATGAGCATGGGTTCAACGATATATACCTTCAACTTGCAGCCATACATCAAGCCACGAAAATCGCTCCCAAAATAGCCAGGCAACCTAGGGGAACCGACCTGGATCCCATCCTGCAGCCGCAAAAGAACCATATCACGTGAACCATATCATGACCAAAATCACGCAGCGCAGAGGGACAATTCCTGGAGAAAAGATCAAGAAACCCACCTTGAATACTTGATCGGGGGATGCGTCGAGGGAGAAGTCGTCAAGCCGCCGCCAACGATCTTGGAGCGTCGAGGGATCTTGGAGCGTCGGGGGATGCGCCGTTGCCCGCGATGCGTCGGGGGATGTGCCGGCGTGGATTTTGGAAACGAGTGCCCCACCGCCGCCGATGCCGGTGCCTCCACAGCTCACGCCCTCCACCCAGCCGGCCGGCCCTAGCGCTCTATTGCGAGTTTGCAACCGGGAGTCTGCTATCGATAGAATAGGAAGGCCCTTCCATTAGGATCCGCGGGCCGATCCATTCTCACGATCCGCACATGACGTGTACAATCCGATCCGTGCCAGGCCTTTTAAAGGATAATCCAATCCGATTCAGCCCATTCTTAAAAGAACCCGTATACAATCCATATATATGAGCCCACGAGTTGGGGGGCCCTTATGACCCTTGGGCTTAGCCAATCCATTTTTAGGATGAATTGTAGTGTGTACATGATGCTTACATATATTTGCTGTTTTCTTGAAACAGTGCCTTGTGTTTTTGAAGGTTCAATGTTGCCAACTCGCTGGTTCGTGTTCAAAGTTAAATGAGTATGTGTTGTTTTATTTGGTACATTCCAACTGAGTTTGGACTTGGAGACATGTTTTGTCATGTAACTCATGACTGCATATATCTCTGCCTGCAGAATATTAAACAGCATGAATTGTTACACCCATATACATATACAAATGTATGCTTGATCACTCCTTTACTCTTCTATAAGCAAGCGGCTGATTATCTTAGTTGTCCTTAAGGTCCAACTTAGAGGCCATGGATAAAATCTAACATAAATCGACAATTACAAGCCTATCATTCTATTTGTAGGACTCACGCTGTGTCTGTTAGCTACAAGCAACCATTAGGCTTACCAAAACAGTTTAAATTAACAAATTCTCAGCTGTTGATGTTCTTTCATTAGACTTATTTAAGGAAGAAACCTTGAATGTGAAAATGGTGATGAGCATCAAATTGCACTGTGTAACGTAAAATAACTAATATATGTGCTCACTGGGGATCAATATACTTCAACCATATACCCTTTATGAATCTATACCAGGACCATAAATCATGCTGCAAGAATCTCATTACGAATATCATTCTTATGTTCTTATCTATCCCCTTTATCTTTTGCTAATATTCAAATTTATGCTAATAGAAACTTGACAACATTATTATCAGTAGCAAGGCTGTAGCTAACTTGATTCATTTCCTTTGTTGTATGGATCTGCTTGATCACTGCAGTAGTTCTGTATGTTATTTCTGAAATGTGAATAATAGTGTGTTACTATTGTTTCAATTTCTGTGCAAAGTTTTCTTTATGAACCTTGATCTGAGTAATGCACATTTCTTTTGATTTTTTTGCAATATCTTGTCTTGCTCATGACAATCAGTTAGTCTCGTTTATGAGCATACATTGGTTTCTCCCAAATCCGTCCAAGAAAAATAGGTAGCCATTCCATTGCTAAATTTGACTGAAATCTTCTTGCAGAGACTCGATACAAGATCTTACCAGCTTATGAAGGTGACAAACAGCAGCTTCAATGGTTTTATAATGCATGTTGTGGCATGGCGCAGGTAACTGCCCAGAATTTTTTGCTTGTTTTTTTTTATTTGTGGTACATCCTTAAGATCTGGACAATTCTTTCTTCTATTTTCTTAAATAAATTCGGTTAAATGGAGGCATGTCCTTGAACAATATTTGCTCGAGTTTTTTTTAATAAGGATATTTGCTCGAGGTTGAGGTTGTTTCAATGAATAAGAAGTTACTGGATTTTTATACAGAAAACAGTAACAATAATAATATATCCCTTCTTTTTAGGTTTTCAACACGGCTCCAGTACCACCAGCAAATCTCCCAATGCCAAATCCTGCACCAGCAATTTCATCTGTGGTGCCTTCAGAACTATCTGCACCCAGCAAGGAGGATGTTGAATTAGCAATGGCTATCAATGCCTCCATTCAATCAGCTATTGCAGAGGGAGTGCCCAATGTTCAACCAAATGCGTCCACTCCCAACAACAATGGCTGGGGTATCCCTCCAAGTAATTCTCACAACGGATGGGGACCACCAGTCACTCCTGCACCGTCAAAGACGAGTGGCCAATCCCAAGCCCGGGTAGATGCCCCAAGCAGCAGCACGTACAATGGATGGGATGTGCCTGGAACAAGCTCTAGTCAAAGTTCATCGAAACCCCACAAAACCGAAACCAACCCTCCAGTCTTGATTCCAGAGGAAGCACTCCAGGCTCTTCCAACCCCAACTGCGCCACCATTCGCTGAAGAAACCTTCTACAGTGGTCCTGTTCACTATCCATCCATAGACTCTACGCCTGTTGATGTAACCATGCCGGCTGCCACCGAAGGCGGTACAACAGTCAGTACAACGGCAGCACCTACGAAACAGGAAGAAAGTGAAGCTGATGCAAGCGACAGCGGCAAAACTCCTGCAGGTACTTGTGTTATATGTTTGGATGCTCCTGTGGAAGGCGCCTGCATCCCATGCGGTCACATGGCTGGTTGCATGTCCTGCTTGAAGGACATAGAGTCGAAGAAGTGGGGATGCCCTATCTGCCGTGCCACGATTAACCAGGTTGTTCGCCTCTATGCTGTTTGAGGAGTTGAAACGGTGGGTCCGGAAAGTTGGCAATGGATGGTTCTCGCAACAAATTTTGATGGGAACGTCTCCATCTAAAAATTGTGCAAGTATGCTATTGTGCGCTTCGTACTGCACTGCAAAATATGACTTCCGTGTAATGTATGTGGGCAGGCGCCTTGTGTACATAGGTGACAGTTCTATATAAAAAAAAAGGTACTGTTTCAAGTTTCAACTCACGTTTACAGTTGCTGGAACTTTCGATCCAATAACCAAGATAGTGGCATCGCCGGATGCTCGTCTCATCAGTTAAAGCTTGTTGCAATGAATTAAGCCGGAGTTGCAAGTTTTACAAGTCTGTAATAAGCTTCGATGAACCTTCCTTTTGGCTACTTTCTGAACTGCGTTGTGTTGGGTGTGCCTTGGGCACTTTTAAAAATTGTGATTGTAAGCTGGTTCCCCAGCAAACTCTATGCTTTCTATAAAGGGGGACCAATCGGTCTTTGGTCTAAAAAATTTCCGCGCGCCTCTCTCTCTCTCTCTCCTCTGGCGAGCTTGTCCCCGGCAGCCGCGCCCGTTCCACCATCTTCTTTCTCAACTCTGGTGGGCTTAGAAGAGAAGGGGTTTCAGGGGGAGGAAGGCTAGCCAGGCGGTGGGGACGGCGGCAAGGTGGTTTAGGGGGCCCTGGCTGCGGTGGAGATAGCGGTAGGGCAACTTAGGGGCCCTAGCGGCTATAGAGGCAGCCGGGCCAGGTCACGACAGGGGAGCTCCATGGCCGAAAGTCCGAAACTCACCGCGAAAGGAGGGGGAGGGGAAGAAGGCGAGCACGCTAGGGTTTCGCCGGAGCTCAGCGAAACCCTAGCGTGCCGTGGCAAGGCGGTGGGTAGTGGCAGGGGCAAGGAGGATGAGGGCGCCGGTGAGGAGGACGAGGAGGAGGGCGCGATCACCAGCAAGGCAGGTGACGAGGGTGCCGATGAGGACAAGGACGACGAGGAGGAGGGGGAGGTGACTGCCGATATACACCTAATAAAATTACACTATTGGAAGTTTGGAACCACGATGAAAATTTTGTTATGTATTGATGACATTTTATTTTTTTCGCTAGCTGAGGTTCTGTATACATGCATCATTATATTTACCGAGCTTCAAGCATTGGTATCGGAAACAGAATAAATCATGAGAAATAAATATATGTACTAGCAATCCTGAAAATGTGAGCCTAACAAATCATGTAGCACAGTACCAGTGACACCTGTTCATTTCAAATATATATTACTCCATGATATAAATCATGCAAGTTCGTTGTTATTTTAGATAAATTTACATTTTGAACTAAAATATTTTAATATATCTAAGTTGATAGCTTAACTGTAAGCATTCTATTTTTATAAAAAAAATACAACTACACATAAATCTTTGACACAGAAAACTCAACGTATTACGTTGCACGCTAACACATCATTTGTTCCCACCATATAGAGATTATTACCTATAGTACATAATATGTGTCTCCTAATAAGATTCTAGTACGTGACAAGTATAATTTATATACGAGATAACAACAGGTCAGAAATATCTCGCACAAAGTATACTTTTTATATATGAAATCTTGAACAAGGTAACAACAGGTCAGAAAAAGCGGATCAATATTACAGAAAGAAACAGAGAAAAAGAATGGCATTTGTGCGTGCACACCCACTCCTGAGAACGCATGTTCGTGACCTTGAACTCCTGCATGCATGTGCCCTTCCGAGTACCATATACATAATATATCGATCGACCGCCACTTGATCTTACGAAATTGGCCTCAAAGTACTTTTCGGCATCTTGATTTCATCTCCAAAATTAAGTTCGTATACGAGGCCGCAGCCGCTTGGATTATCACCACCCTCTAGTCGTCGTCCACGGCGGGTGGGGTCGTCGCCGCCGCCCCCTCCTCCGGCGCGGCCGTGGTGGCGTCCTTGGCCGCGGCGCCACCGTTCCCCTCGGAGCTGCCCTTGTTTTTCCGGCGGTTGGACTTCTTGGGAACGGCGGGGAGGTCCTGGCAGGTGGCCGAGGCGTCGTCGCCGCCCGACTTGTCCTTCTTGCGGTTCTTGCGGGTGCCCTTCTTGCCCTTCTCCTTCTTCTTCTCCTCGGCGCCCTCGGCGCCGGTGACGTCCATGGAGGAGGTGGCGGAGCCCCGGGAGCGGTGTCGTCTCGACCGGCGCGTGCCGGGGGACGGTGGGGAGTCGCCCCCGCCGACGTCGGCGCCGCCTGCCTCGCTTTTCGTGTCCCTGAAGGAGGTGTCTCCGATGCTGCTTCCTCCATCCATGACTATCTCTGTCAGTGTCAGGCACAGATGAGTGTTCAGTCCATGTCTTTGTGCACAAACCAAAGCATGTTTCTGGAAGGTAATGTCTGATGATCATAATTCTGCATGCATTACTTCAAATTTCAGGTCAAGTTAGGCTTTGTTTTCTCCTAATAAATATTGTCTTTCTTGTATTGAGTATTTTCTTCAAAAGGTGACAAGTGACATCATTGCTAGCATGCATGCAACTTCCACAATGAAATGATTAATTGAGGGTTTGCATCTATCAAGAGGATGATGAAGACGAACAGGTTATATGTATGACCGGCGAAAACAACCTTGTGAAGCCCAGGGATTTGCAGCAGCGGTGCCCCCACTCTCGCTCCTAAAAGAGGACGAGTCAAGCGGTGCCGAGTGGTAATCCTTCATCTGTCAAAACCAACCTTTTTTTTTGTCATGCTACAATATCCAGTATCATAATTGATTTTTTTTTACATAAAATTGGTGCTGTCTTCTTGCATCAATAACCAATGCATACAACCAAAGTTGTTTGTTACATGAATAACTACTATGATTGAGTATCTTACTGTCTTCAGGTCGACAAGGAAGACATTATTAGAATCAAGTAGACATGCATAAAGATTGTCTGCACATTTGCTTCTATGCCAATGTCAAATAGTGTTGCCGGCTTACCCAGCTAGGTGCTCCTCCGGCATTATTGTTGTTGTTGTTGGAGCCAGGACCATCCCAACCGATGTGTGCCACATGTTTTACATCCGTTGGGAACCCAATTTGCATTTCAGGCTCCTTACCATCTTGTGGTCGCAATTCAGTATGAAAAGAAATGATGAGGTCAATGCCACCCGTGCTATGAAAAATCAGTTTAAGGTCAATGAATAGTGTGATTGGGCATACCCATCATGTTTGAGATATAGCGGAATGGCTTCAGGATCCCCTTCTTCATCTTTGTGCCCATGTTTCTTCTCTTAAACCTTGCTTATATCAATGTGGATGCACACACTCTTCTTGAACTCGCAAATTGCTGATCGGATCAATCGACAAAAAATACAGTGAAACAATATGATTGACCAAAAAGAAAAGAAAAGAAAGGCCTATACATATTCATATTAGATGTTGAAAGTATGTATAAAATTGAACAGAATGTTGCATTGGAATGCTTACTCTGCTGGGAACCTTAAACGCTGTTAACAAGATTGTCCAAATGCTGGCAATTCTTGTTAACTGGTTCTCAACCTTCCTCAATGCGCCAGTGCCATTCTTCTCCCCTCTCAGTCTCTTTCTTTGTAAAGGCTAGCTCAATATTGTCTAGCCTCAGGCATTGCCAAAATATGATTCAGAAACTTACACTGACCGCAGCGGATGTCCCTTTGCGGTCAATGTTACTTCGAGGGTGAGAAGAGGAGATCTATCTTATGCCTAATTTTTTGGAGGGTCAAGAACCCTTTGAGCTTCTCCTAATATTATTCAACCATGCATGGGCGTAGGAAGAGGCTACCTGTCCCTTTCTTTTGGCTATTTAAGGAGAAGACGGTTATGGGAAACTGGATGGAGGATGCGGAGGAGTCTATCTAAAGATAGGCATTTGGGCAAAGATGTCAGTGCTGGAAATAATGCGTGGTTGTTAATTTTCACCATGATGAGTTCACATGATTTTGGCATTTTAACTTTTATATGCACATGGTCCGCTTCCGTCCATCCGTTTGGCCATGTTTATGGAAAATGTATTTGACACTTAGAACATCAAATTTGCTTGACTAAATTTTCCATGAAGTATGTTTTGATAGAGCATTTATTTGAACTTGTAAATGTTAATACATTTTTAGATAATTTGGTCAAATTTAGAGAACTATGCCTATTTATCATTTTTGGTTAAATCATGCTATGTTTATTGATTTGAAATTCAAAGACAAATTTGCAACTACTAAGTCAATAAAACATTATTTTTGTAGGCATGATTGTGATGTTGTATAGTCTTCTCATTTAATTTATTCTATTCAAAGTCTAAGATGTACCTTTTTATCATTCTTGTAACCTTTAAGTCATGAAACAATGGTAGCTTGAAGGCCTTACAAAAATATATCTAAATTACAACCATGGATATGGATACAAAATATAGATAATTATTATTTATACAAAGGCAGCAGTTGCAGATCCACACCAGGGTAGCACGGGGCCATGCCCCCCCCTGAAAATCTTAGTACGGGTTTTGATAATTGAGTGACAAATTAGGGTGGAGCAATTACTTTCATGTGAGATGAATTGGTACTTAGTCCACAAGTGAAGTTGGGATCTTAGTGGCCATGAAGGAGAGATGCATGGCAATGTGGTGAAGAGCTCAACATGTTAAGATGGAGATGTTGATGGAGGAGCGATGATCCTAGGACTCGCCTGTCGTCTCAACGTAAAGTAGGTGATTGGCAAATCACTGAACCATGAGAAAACATCATGTGTCTCCCTCCACTGCGGTTTGATCCTTTGTACTCTTTATTTACTTTCAAGCATTTACATTCATAGAGAGATATTCTTATTGCTCGTCACTCTGCTAGGATGCAAACTTGGACATAGCATTAGATTCGTTGTAATATAAGGATTTGGGATGAAGTCATTGTTCAACCGATAGTTTGATTCCGCATCTTTATCAGCTAGGAATCATAATTAGTTTTAGAATCTAACTATTCACCCCTCTAGTCAGCCACCTTGATCCTACAAGTGGTATCATAGTCTCATTCTCTCATTTGAGTGGACTTCACCGTCATGAGAGTGAAAGGATGGCGACTAGTGGGTTAGAGTATACTTGTGAGACACATTTTTTATGGCACACGTGTTTTACACGGTGCAAAGCTTGTATGTCTATTCATTTCCGTGCTATTAATCCAAAAATATGGTGGATCATAGATATAGGCTTTTCTCATACCTTGGATGAGCTCAATCCAACGAAAGAGCAAGAGAAATGTCTAGATGTCGATGCACAAGCTACTAACATTTTACTTGGTGTAAAGATGTTTTCTATGCATGGATCAAACTTCAAGTTTTATATGAAGGATCCAGCATTATTGATGGAGGTGATCACATTGAGGAGATGGTGATTGTGGTTTATTCTAAAACAAAAAAATATACAGAGGAACAAAATGTTTGAATACCTAGAACAAAATCATGCAAATTAGAGGAACAGAAAATTATACGCTTGGAACAAAATATTGTGGATAGCACAACAATTATTATTAAAAAATTATGGAGAAATGTTATCAGCCCAAAACGTTGTGTTTGCATTTGATAAATTAATTAGAGCAAAAAATGTGGACACCAGAAACAAAATATATACACGTAAACTAAAACAATAAAATTTCACAACTGAAAAAAATAAACATAACATGAAACAATAAAAGATTGAAAAAATATCATAGTGAGTTTTAAAACTCATGAGATAATTGAATTATTAGTAGAACCATATTTTCATGAATGGAACAAATTAAAATATAACATGGAAGAAGAGAAAAAAATCAAATACATTGTTGGGCTGAATATATGTTACATCGGTAGTACGGACAAACATATATATAGGCTATAATAAAACAACCAGGCGATCTAATGCAAACACAAAACAGAGGTGAACAGATTTTATGGATAACAAGGAGTGTATAACAGATGTTACACTTGACACACAGAACCCAGGATACAAATTCTCGACAGGTGTTTGTTTCTGTGTAAGCCTGGCACAGAACATGAATGATAAACGATCAGGATGCTTTGAGATCGTCCATGCCCACACTGGCCTGCAAGTAGACACAGGTGTATATCAGAAAACTACACCTTCAGAAAATGTTGGGTTGATTACACAAAATGTACAGTATTTTAGGCTGAACTTACCAGAAACTTGTGGTTTTCTTCCAGCAAAGGGGAGAATGTTGCGCAGAACTTCTCAATATCAGCGTTAATGTCGCCTGAACCACTGATGATCTCCATGAACTTCTTCCTGTCTGGGGCAAGCTTTATGGCAACCTGAGATTATGTGGCATTAGATTGTAAAGAAGTACCTCTCGGCTAATGGTACAACCAGTATTTACTGAAGTTTTCAGGTGTTAAAACAAAATTAACATCCACGTTACATCATCAGTAGTAGTTACTGGAGAGTTGGTAGGTTGTGAGAAGGTATGATAACTTCATCCGGAGCTTAGAAGTTAGATAAGGAGTAGTACCGAAAAGCTCGAAGTCGCCAACCAGCTATGCCATTTCTTCAGTGTTTTGCTGTAAGCGTCACTGCAAGCTTGTGGCATCTGCCATTCTGGATGCTGTACCAAATTGTGGAACAGAGCGACCAAAAAGTCCATGGCTCTATTGACAAACAAATGCAGAAAACAGTTCAATACTGATATGTGCTGATGAATGAAACACTGAAATTAAATACAATCTCCGAAAACATGCTGAAATAGGCAAATTTTGGGGGGTTACCTTGTCAGCCAGAGAAGGCCATTGGTACAGCTGCTAGAGCTTTTGGCTGTCTTGGCGCTGACTTCTACTTTCACCATGCTGTGCAACTGCTCATACTTTGTAGGATCAGACGCATATTTTTCTCCAGCCTCTGCACGAGATCAAGAATGTGGCATCATAAACTGCAGTAGCGGCCAATCAGATGCATATATATGAAACTTGCAACGTGAACGGATTCGCCTTACCGTGATATTGCCTCCAATGTCTGTCTTGACGATCGACATGGCTGACCCAAATTTCTCTGCAATAATGATCCAAGAATCAGACCGCCATTTCTCTAACCACATCAAAGTAATTAATGCTCATTGGTGATGAGCTCCATGAAAAACATCTCTCGTTTACCTAGCACTGGAAGGATTTGCTTGCATACTTGGAGAAACGGCGTGGTCAGGATCACGCCACTCTCCGACTTGACATGCTTCATGCCCGCAAGGGAGGGTGTGAACACGGTCCCCTCCATCTGCATTTCTGCATGACGTTGGTTACATAAATGAATTAGGAAGAAGATAACCAAGAACAGGCGTTGCGCCAATCGATCACCTCGGGTCACCAGAAAGAGGAACCAGACAGAAGACACGGTTATCAAGCTAACTTTATCGAAGTGGCTAGACAATCAATGAAATGATTGACACTAGTACTGAAAGATCATCAGACCACACGTAATGTTCCACTCTGAACTGAATCTCATCACAATAAAACTACCAAGGGAATCTGAAAAACAAAATCCTCAGTACTATTTCCTTAGTGAACCAACAGGCTTGCTACTACTTTAACTTGCTCCTAACCAACTAAGTAAACAGAAATCATACCAACAATTTCTGCAAAAGATTAGCATTTAGCAACACCGATCCTAGAGCCTCATTGCATACGTGTAGCCTCCTCCAAATATTCAGTGCAATGCAAATTTACAAAGTGCACTCACCTACTCAGGACTCAGATGGACGACAGAAGAGAAGAGAAAAGAATGGGGAGGCAGCTTTGGATGCAGAAAGAAGACCTCAGAAATGGAGGAGACGTGTGTCTGGATGGCCGAAGTGGGACTGTCGTGGGAGCCGAAGAACTGGGCCGGGCCTCATGGTGGTATATATATTACAGTATCTCTCATCGGCCTCTCATTTGAAACATGGGCTGATGGGCATGGGCAGCAGAGTTGTTTGCCACCTCGATCATATTGCAGGACGGCACGTCGCCGATCATGCTTGTACAACGACTGTAGTAAGGGATTCTTCAGTACAGTATCCCGTGTACTTGTTACTCGTCTAGTCCTGTTACTGCCTGAAGGCCCTGATTAAATAACTCAGACCTACAGGGGTCGATAACAAAACCCTCAGAGCCCTGATTAAATAGCCCGGTAACTGCGTCTCCGCCGAGCGCCGAGATTCGCTCCTATCGTGGTTCCGGGCCATGGCGGAGTGGACTCGGGACGTCAGGGACATGGACAAAGCCGTCGGAGTCGCAGACGTCCGCGTCCACAGCTAGTGCGCGGCATACCTGCTCGGCCAGTGGAGGCCCGCGTCCCGGCCTGCCAACACCTCGGCCAGCGCGGCCGGGTCTCTGCTCCCAACACTGATGGATGACGGAAGATCCTCCCCCGGCCAGAGACGCGACGTGCGGCCTCCTCAGTTGAGCCTCGCCCAGAGCACCTCCCGCAGGCCCGGAGGATCCCCGTAGAGCTTCGCGACAGATGTTTCAACTACCTCTCCTACTCTCACAGGATAGCGACTTGTAGGTTCCCATGGCATTGTCTGCGCTGCCACGGCTTCGGCCACCTTGCCAGGGACTGCAAGCGGACCAAGTTTGCTGCGACGACGAGGGCGAAGGGTGGCGCTGCTCGTGGGGATGAGCCACCGGCCCACCAACACACGCCCCAGGGCGGTCCGCCAAGCTCGGTTGGAGCCACGGGGGCACCGGCAGAAGCCGGCGACATCGCTGGCGGTGCCGGAGCAAGCCGGCGAGCGACACCAGCATGGAGGCACCCGTCGCCTCCGTCGACAACGCTACTACCTCTGTTGTTGCACATTGCCTCCACAACCCAGACCGCTGGTGCTGGAGCTGTGCGAGAACACGGGACCTCACGAGTGGATCGACCCAATGCTGGAGGAGTTCGCCGCCTCACTCGTCATGAGCCGGCCACCAGAAGCACCAGCGCCTAGGTGTTTGCCCGCCACGACGACTGCTCCTCAGGAGGAGGAAGCATCGCTAGTGGACACTTGTTCTCCGGCGAAGGCTTGGACGACGGACCCACCTACGCTGTCGCCGGCGCAGGGGCAACCACCAATCACGCCACCGCGGGTGCGACACGCCATGGAGGCCGAGGCGTGCTCCAACAACATACCACCGGACGAGGACACAGCCACCCCAACCCTGACGCCGCGAGGGGGACAACCCGCTGTCATGGGTGACGAGGCGCGCCCACAAAGCCCCGGTGCCACCCCCCGCCCCCTGTCGCGGAAACGACCACACCTCCCGGGCCAGCTGAACGTGGGAGCTTTGTCGTAAGGTGTCGTTGCTACTACTGCCTTAGCCAGATGTGGAGACACAACCAAAGTTACCGACTCAGAGTAGGAGGATTGCCGCTCAGCCGCTTTCACACGTCCCGACTTCTAAGCGGGGACAGGTGCTGGTGATGAAGCGGATGGGCTACCTCGACGAGCAGATGAGGCCTTTGACGGCGTCCAAGGACGCCTACGATAGTATCTTCGTCGACCAGCTCAACCCCTGACATGCTGAGGCAATGTGATAGCTCTTCCCGGTCCCACAAGGAGAGCGTCCAAGGCGCCGCGCACGCCAGCGCGTCTAATCGCCGACGGTGGCTACGTAGTATGATTAACGAGTAATAGCTCATGATCTCCTTATGCTAGGGAGAATAGAGCCGATTGTATAACACTAACATCTCACCCTAGTGTGCCATGTTCGTGGTGCATCGTCGTAACTTTTACTATTTTCTCGATTTTAATACAAAGATGCGCAAACCTTTTGCGTATTCGAGAAAAAAAAGAGGAGCATGCTAAACCGGAGGATCCAAGGGCCCGCCCAACCTCAGAAAGGCAGCTGGGACCTCTAAGGCTCTAATAAACTTCTGAAGCAAGATGCATGCATGATTATCATCTCGTTCATAATCTTCATCGGAATAATCACATTAGTACTTTGGAATTTCTTTTCAGCAAAAGGGAGATCATGGCATCAAACAGCATCATTACTGTCCATCACTAACTCGCCCAGATTCTTCCTGACCTGACCCTACTACAGAGACTCAGAAGTAAATTAACCAATAATTAAACATCAACATGCTCCGACACCTCTCGCGTACTAGCTAGACATGGCGAGCACTCGCTAGTCGCTGCATGTGACGAGCTTAGTAGACGTGATGGACATTGCTGATCTCTTTCATGGGCCAATCACAGGTCGCAGCAGGAGGGCTACGATTGATGGTCAATTGGTGATGGCAAAGTAGTGGTTGCCCAAATCAGGCAGCAGCTGCGCCGATCTAGACCAACACCGACAGTGTGCCTGTGTGGTACATACAATCATTGTGGAAGAGATTGCCGTAATTTGTCCTTTTGCTGATCTAAAAATTATAAGGTGCAAAAAAAAAAAAAAATCCATGCAGTGGCTCCAAAACGTGTAAATAATTTGAACATGTAGGGAAGTGCCCTGTCTTGGAACCCCCACCAGATTGAATTATCTCGAGATTTCTATGGTCCCATTGCAAATGATGAAACCGCGGGGCGATGGGTTGGATCTGAAAAGGTTGCATACTGAACAGGAAATCTAGAATATCAATCTATAGTTTATCCACTAACTGCAGTTAATGCTTCTACAACTCAACTATGTCACTTGAAAATTTCAGCCATACAATCTATCTTCGGTTGAAATTACGATTATTTTCCTCCCTCTCATGTGCATGCACTTCCAATGCCATCCCCTTCCCCTACCTTGCAGTCCCGATCTAGCTAATAGGCAACCAAACAGCAACGCTCCAACAAAGTATATAGTTCCACAATCCTCGCATACTCCCATAAATCAATTTATTCTTGATTATTTGCTTGTCCAAAACTTAAAAACGCTTCTTATGATCACATACTCACATAAATCATCACCACCATCTGTCTCCTTGCCGCTACTCCTAGCCCAGTTATGCAAAGGCTATTTATGTTCCAAACTTCCACTAAGGTAGGCACTTCTTTTTTGCCACCCAGACCCATCTCATTCTTTATCTGCTCATTGAAACGTGTCCTGATTATCATCCCCACAACCGATAGACCACCTCCTACCTAGTCACCAATGGCTCCATAACATTGTGACCTCTTGTCTAGATATGGCCACCACTTTCACCTACAGTCCGCAATGAGTGCCACCTCACAACTCCATGTGTCATCCTTTTTCGCCTCTAACACTATCCTACCCTAAACGAGCTTAAACTTACCCCACTTCCTATTACTCTCATTAGATATACTCTTATCGCTCAAATGGTTTCGACCCCTACCCCCTTCTAGCCAGCTGCAATCCTAGTCATCCATCCTTGGAGAGATCTACCTTGACCTTGACAATCATTGAGCACCAAACCTAGAACCCAATCCCCCACCCACCTAACAACTGTAGTGGATGATGAGTACATGAAGTGCACATGGGAAGAAGGAAAGAATGTAGTTCTTGGCATCAAAGGAGGAAGGACGATGAATTGCTAGACACCTAGGTGGAACCCAAGGATCCCTTGGTTGTGCTGCCATATCCTTCTTTGTGCTAATATTTTTTTTGAAAGGTTACTCGCCCTGAATTTTAGCACCACGTCTTGGATGGCATTGTGTCCCATGTGCTCATTAGACAATGCTAGCTACTACTACCATGATCTTAGAGGGATTGTAGGGTAGACCTAAGAGAACTCGAGCTACTCGGCCTGGCTCGGCAAGCTAGCCCGTTCACCTGGCATAGCTTGGACAGAGGTATTGCTGCCTAGAAATTTTTTTCTTGACCTGTTCTTGGCCCCAAACATTATTTTCATTCGTGTTTACGCTAAAAAATCAAGATGGCCCACCTTAGCCCAAGCCCCGTTCGAGAATGTAATGCCTCAACCTTCCCACTAGGAGCCTAGGAGGGCCTGGGGCACATATTCTAGGCCCAAAATAAACTAGTCAGACTTTTGCAGACCTAGCCCGCCTAAACTTTTGGTCGGGTCTATTTTGGGGTATCTTTTATTCTTCTCATGGTTAAAGTATTCGAGGTCTTTACTATGTTGTGCCGAGTAGTCTTATAACTTTGCATCACAAAAATTTCAACTGCATGTTACAGTTCTTAAACTTTGCAGAAATAAGTATGGGCTCTTATAAATTGTAGAAGATATAAATCAAACAATTAAAAATAAAGCGAAGTAACCAACCAAACTATTGGGTTTAGAGGGCAAGTTTGTTAACGTGATTGTCCATGCGTTTGATTATGCCCAGTCGCCCTTGGCATTCACATACCAAA